AATACGTTAAAATTTTTTGCATGTGCTGGAACCCCATCGATGATGTATTGCATGATGTCACTTGCGCAGTCGCGGTAAGCATTAGTTACGTGGCTGACAATTTCAGCAGACCGAAATGGCACTGCAAAAGAGTATTCACAGATGCAATGATGTCATGAATAGGTCTTTAACTGATCTAGTCTGACGTAACGCATATGATATGACCTGATAAACTCTGAGCCATCAACCATTGACTTTCACGTTTGGTATTGGTCCGGTTAATCATGGTCTTACCATCAACATTGTGCCAATGTTCATTAAATCTCGACGGGACGTGGTCCGCCTGTTCTCATGGCAGCACTTGCAGTTGATATTTCCAAGTCAGGCGCGAGACGATGTAACGTTGGTTTAGAAGACGACAGCAACTGCACGGTTACGAAACACGAGCATACGGTCTTATAAAACTACTCAGTCTCACTCATTATCAGTATAACACGCACAAAGTCCACTGAGTTTCTAAGTTTGTTACATTCAATACATGCAAACTGCAGATAGGAAGGAAAACCCTTACTCGGGGTACGACCGTCTTCCACTTGTGAATCTTTCTGGTAATAACCAGAACCTGGAATGTGTGCATTGATCAGCCTTTCCAACACATTCAGTGTTACATGAACGGAATCATTCTAAAGCTTACGAGTAAAACTTGGACGTTGTGCCATTCCAAGTGATGGACTGTATGAGAATAAACCCTCCCGCGGTTGTTATGCTATTTAGGTTATCAGCATTAGATTCTATGTTATCTATACTCGAAGAGCCTGCGGCCAGAAACGGTTCATTGGAAACCACATAGGGATTGTTGATCTTACTACCCACTGAAACCATGATATCGGTACACCCAGATCAGTTTTCAGAACTTGGTTAAGCACACTTGTACCTTTGAATCGTACTGGACAGATTGAGCTGTTCACTTCAAGTTTTTATGTATTGCTTTTCGTTGTACAGATGTGAATAAGATATAAACAGTCATTTAAATGTGGCCACCGTCATTAATCACACAATACGCATATGGAGAAGGCGAGGTTCCTTCGATATATAATAGAGCACCTAGAGTTTTCGTGTTCAGTGGTGATCCGTCGTACCACGCATTCATAGGATAGATTCGAGTATCTTTGTAAAAGTTATACTTTTTACCGATTTTCTCGTATCGAGATCCTTTTGACCTTTTGTTTGTGCAACAGCGGATCCTGATAGTAATAAATTTGACAGAGGCCTTCTTCACGTGCTGTGAGCAGTCACCTCTTACGATCTCGATTGTGACAGTGACAAGAAAGCTTAACGAGAACGGAAATGATGCATCCTCCCTTGTTAATATCACGCTAGATTCATGTCCCGAGTTATATTTAATTTCTTACTTTTTACTGATACCCGTTTCAAAACTTGTTCAAAACATCGTAAGCGACTATTCACTGGAAAAGATTTCACTACTATAGTTTTCATGCTTCTCACTGTAAGTCATAGCTGTAGATTATCTGCCAACTTATACGTTTGTGCTCGGACTGGTTGATTGATTTGTTCATTTTGTTCGACTTTGTTCGCTTGATTGCAGTAAACTCGACCTTGTTGCCAAGATAAAAGAATGGCAAACGAACCTCTTGCACGATCATGTTGTCGAGTGATCATCGATTAAGCAAAATGAAAAAGTAATTGAGATTCTGATAAATATGGGGATCATCGATCACCATTAAACTCATCTTCCAACTCGGTTCACCTCTTTCTGTCAAACTAACAAGCTGTTAAACGAAGAGTCAGCTGAAAATTTGCTGTTGAGCTCTATCAAGGTTGAGTCAAGAACATCAGACGAGGGGAATGAATACCCACACAAGAACTTTCAGGTGCTGCGGCGTGTTCCGTCGGGTATCAAACAATCTAATCCCCGAAGGTCTCTTCTGTAGTTTGTTCGCAGAAAAACGAACATGATCGACTGAGCTAATCGGATAAAGGGAGTAGCGCTTGGTTCGTCATTTAGCGGCTTACTATCAGGGTAGTACTCTTTCATCCCTGGCTGATTCCTATACCCATAGTCCCATGTCATTATCCAGGGCTTCGCAAAACCACAGCTCAGAGAAACGTGTAGACTACTCAGGATTCATTGGTGATTCATTATTGCAATGGGAATAAGTGACCAAGTGATCTTTCCAAATGCCTGCATACTTTTGATCGGTCATAAACGATGATTTAGTCACTGTTGACTACACATCGTCTGTCATACGACTCGTCACCGGTGCAAATGATCGTTGTTTCAATCAATTCATTCGAACCACCTGACCGTTCCCGTAACCCCACTGGGCCACTGTTCCTAAGCGTGCATATTCGCTTTACCTCAACTGCTGATTTTTCCCCAGTTGTTTTTCATCTTCAGGAAACTTCTTCATAACCTTCCATCACAAAAGCTCCTTCCCTTTCTACTTCTTTTCTGAACATTCGCTTATCGATTCCGTGTGACTTGTCTTCACTGTTTATTTATCGAAAAATTCGAATATACACATAGCTCCAACTCTTTCCCGAGACTAGAGATAATAATCGGGTGAAACCGACAAAAAGAAGAGCCGTCGCACTGACGAGCTAATATATTGTTTAAAATAAGGGTTCCATCCACGAGTTTCCGCTTTGTCATGAAATCATTATTAACTTTGAGTTCATGGGCGCGCCCCTTACTGAACCATCGTATATTAACCTTTTTTTCGTTCCTTCGACGGAGGCTAGCAGTTATTGATCTTGGATCACATTCATTCTCTTCGAATGGCGTAACTCAATCAGGGAGAACACAACATTCCATTGCTTCGTATGAAACTTGAACAAATCTTGAAGAGTTGCGATATGAGGTATCATTCCGAACGTTGTGAATCGGATTTGGGTTTCGTAGATAATCATCTCTCGGTGATAGTGCTGCTACTTGAACTCTGTTTCAGAATTGAAATCCTTGATACAAAGGCGATTGATTTTTATCTCACATAGATAGACTTAAGCACCCAACTACTTCATGGCTGCATGCTCTTGCTCTTCGAGTTCATTTGAATGTGCCATTATATGGTATTGCCTTCGTTGTGTAGGTTCAAATGTTCCTGTATAAATTCATTGCCATTGCTTACGCATTGAAACACTGCTTGCGTGTTTCTCAAATCTGTTCCGTTCGCGATTAGGTGGTCGGAAAAAAGGGCATGTGTGCAGCATTACTTTCAATATTCTCTGGTCCCCGTCTCCTGTTAGACACGACGATATTCATCGAGTTAACCGTCCTGAATAATTCCAATGACATGAGATTAATAAGACGACAAATACACTTTTCGTATGATTACTGAATCCCTGACACCAAAAGCCATTCAGAGGAAGAATCAGGTATGGTCACAGCATGACAATCGCCCTGTCACGGTCATTTATTATTATGCCCAATATGACCAACCAAATCCTACACCCTTCCGATTTGATCGGCCGATCACTTAACTATGAAGTTGGACTGGAACAAAGACACTGTCTGCGACGTTATAGGTCCCTTCTCTTTTCTACATATGTTCTGAGCTATAACATGGTCCAGGTGCAGCACTGAAGTGGATGTATAAGTCCAGTTCAGAGTCGAATGCGTGGCTTACCTCATTCGACTCATCACCCCAGCAGCGCTGGATTTATACACTTACGATTAGAGAATACGATATCATCACCTCAGATACTCATCTCTCTTTGTCAGAACTTTAATACTTCGTTAGTTTATCGCAGCATGTCTTCAACGGTTCTGATAAGAAAAAAGTTTGCCGCAGTGATAACTGGTCGCCTACTACTGCGACCACGTTATCTTTTCGCTAAGCAGTCGCTATGTTGATGCTGCCAAGCCTCGATTGATCAGCACTTTCTTACTTTTTCTTGTATATAAGACATATTCTGTGCACGAGATTTCTTAACTATCGTTTTTGTTAAATGTGACCAATTTATTTTCGTTCTTCACTTCACTAGCCACAAGATTGCTCATTATTCAACCAAACCAGTACTAGTTTGTCTGAAATGATTCGTGGATTGAAGGAATCTGACCATTTCTACTGTCAACAACTTAAGCTAGAAAAAAAAAGTTACGATTGAACTCTGATTTTCGGGAAATCACGTTTTCTCTGAAAGCTTCAATAGGAAGATGATTTTAGCAGCAAAGTAACGCCTCTCTTTTATAGCTGATAACAATGCGTTAACAATGAGACTATTGTTGAAATTCACCAAGTAACTTTCGATGATGCGAGGGTCTTCCCTACCCCTAATACCAGCTATTTGATGCTAGCCTTCCCCTATCCCAAGGCTTAATCATTATGTACGTGTTCCTGGACATACTTTCGAGAAAATTTGAAGAAATTTTCGACAGCCCATAGGATTTTAATTTAATTCCAGGGCCTTTTCATTCTGAAAATTTCTCTGTTAATCTCTGTGATCGAAGTCTTCACAACCCTAATTTTACCAAAAATTAGATAATTCGAAACCGTTTGCTCGTCGTTTACGAACAGTTTTGCATCCTTCATTTCTCCTACATCTGCTTTTTTCTTAAAGAGGTCCTATACATTGCAAAGAACCGAAGTTCCCATCTACTTTTCCTTCTTGTTCTCTGTTCTAAAAACATGAAACTGCTTTTCAAGGTATGCGCCTTTTGCTTGTATTCTTGGCGCTATGTGCAGTGATTTCAACGGGTATCAAAATTCGTGAGAGCGAGAACTACCTCAAAGACAATGTAGGTGTTTTACGTATTCTATAGCCTATTTTTATATTCCCTTGAAATGAAAGTGAGGGTGTCATCACGAGTACATAAGGACGATTTTTCATCGAACTACGCACATAAACGGAAGGGTCAAATAACGAACATTTGAAAAATTTCGTAACCACCACCTATTATTCAAATAAAATTGATGGAGCTTTCTGGTACTGTATACGACTTTCACTTAATTAAAGACCACTTCAGAAATCAAACTGACGGGGCTCATGGCCTGTTGGAGATGCTCAAACTACTGTACTTTGTATTTTATAGCGAGTCCCTACATTACAAAAGGAGAAAAATTCTCATGGAACATCACAATTCAAATACGAGTACGTGTCGGTTTGTGTGAATGGTACCGAGGATAATTTGCTGGACATTGTATACGCCAAACAATGTAACGAAAAGGAGTCTCAAGTCGCTCTTGGAAGATTCACGAATCAGGTCAATACAACCGGGTCAGTGGCAGTAATTAGCTTTCGTTTTGTGGAAGTGAAAAGTTACGCCTTCGAATAATCACGCTAGAACGCATTACACATGAGAACGCTTCTTCTCATTCAAGATGTAGTAATTTCTTGGAGGATCAAACGGGACAGCCACACTGAAGTGGCTCTGTGCTGAATCTAAGCTAACAGCAAAAATGTAAGGGAGGCTCTATGTTTAAGAATTTTCTTTTGCAATTCATCAATGAACCCGTATAGACTGCGTGAGATTCCCAGAAACTCTTAGAATTTCTACGGAAGAGTTCAGAACATGGAACCAATTCTACCTACACATTTCAATAGACTCAACTTTTAGATGGGGGATCCTAGAAATCGAAACGTTCCCTGGTCACGCGTACGATGTACAAGCCTACGCTGCCGGAGTCGCTGAAGGTAATCGCTCCTTTTTCGAGTTTCTTGCACGCCTTCTCGTGCTCAAATTCAAGGCTGCTAGGATTCCAGTGTA